ATCCGAGAAGCTGGATTCTATGAAGAAAAACATGGCATCAGGATTGGAGGAAGACCCATTAACAACCTGTGATATGCAAATGATACAACCTTGCTTGCTTAAAGTGAAGAGGACTTAAAACATTTACTGATGGAGATCCAAGAGCACAGCCTTCGGTATGGATTACATCTCAATGTAAAGAAAACAAAAATCCTCACCACTGGACACATAAACAACATTCTTATCATGGAGAAAAGATTGAAGTTGTCAACTTCATTTTTCTTGGATCAACTATCAACACTCATGGCAGCAGCAGTCAAGAGATCAAATCACATAATTGCGTTAGGCAAATCTGTTGCACAAGACCTTTTTAAAGTGTTGAATAGCAAAGATGTCAGCTTGAGGACTAAGGTGCATATGACCTAAGCCATGGTGTTTCCAATAACCTCATATGCCTGTGAAAGCTGGACAGTGAATAAGGAAGATCATAGAAGAATTGATGCCTTTGAGTTACGGTGTTGGAGGAGAATATTGAAAATGCCATGGGCTGCCAAAAGAGAACCAATAGATCCGTTTTGGAAGAAGTGCAGCCAGAGTGCGCCTTAGAGGCCAGGATGGCCAAACTATGTCTCTCATACTTCAGACATACTGTCAGGAGGGACCAGTTGCTGGAGAAGGATATGATGTTTGGTAAGGTGGAGGGTCAGAGAAAAAGAGGAAGACCCCCCAACGAGATGGATTGGCCAAGTGGCAGCATTGGTGGACTCAAGCGTGGCAACAGTAATGAGGTTGGCCCAGGATCAGACAGGGTTTCGTTCTGTACATAGGGTCACTATGAGTCAGTACCAACTCGATGGCACCTAAAAACAACAGCATCCTCAATGATAAAAACTTTAAAAAATACATTTAATGTGAAGGTCTTTTTTATTCCATCTGAAATCTGTTTTTATCATTGATACATGTAGGAAATAATTTTTTCTAAGTTGATGGACAATTATCCTAGCATCATTTATTAATTTGATTTTTTCTGACAATTTTGTAATACCGTTTCCGTTATAAAGTTGGCTCCTGGGAAACCCTAAACAATGTCGCTTTGAGTGGGAACCAACTCAACAGCATTTAACAATAAGAAACCATGGATTTACCATGGATATATTAATTCAGTTTCAGTTTGGGTGCATTGGACTATTTGTTTCTGTGGGTAACTTCACTCTAGTTTTAATTAATAGGTTTTTATGTTTTAATGATTGGTAGGACAAGTTTTGTACTGTTTAAGAGTTGTTGGTCATTCTTGTGTCTGGTAATTTTCAGATCATCCCTATGTTCCTCCTCTTCCCCCAAGTAAACCACTGTGAAGCCCCTCCAATGTGGGCAATATCATATGTAAAAAGGTATGTCCTGCTAACATTACAGGCAGGAGAATTCTATTAGAAGCCACCCCATTAATTAGAAAAAGACAAGGTGACTCTTTTCCTGAATTTTATTTATTTATTTTTTAGTTTGTTTTACGGACAGTAGATCATAAGGAGAAACTACCTTTGGGGAAGAAAGCCAGTGATGTCGTGAGAGAGAGTAAGCTTTGTAGACTACAGAGGCTCTGCATTCTCCAAGGAGAGAGTCAAGCTGCTCTCAGTGGGGGCCACCCTGGCAAATTCAGGGTGTTAGACTTAGCTCCACTATAATTGTGGCCCTTAGACTGATTGATAATGGGGGCTGGACACTTTAAAGTATGCATTTGAGGCCATTCAAATTAAATCTGAAGTATCCAGAAATCTCTTTGCTATCTGTCCTCTCTCCGAAGGGCTGGGAACGCCCAGCTGGTTCCATGTCTACTTCTGAATTCAACTTGAACCTCTGGAAGTTCGCTGTCAGTGTATTTTGTTGCAGACGGTTTTCTATTATCTTTAACACAATTTTACTTACATGTGATATTAAGGATATTTCCTGATGATTTCCACATTCTTGTTGAATCACCTCTCTTTGGACTGGGCATAAATAGGATCTCTTTCCAGAGAGGGACTGGGTCCTGAATAATGGGGG